CTAAAAGTGTTAGGATCACGTCAACTTGAATGAAGTGTGTTATGGGTGTAAATATGTGACACACTATTTGGCCCGAAGAGGAAGAAAGCAGCTCGACTTTTTTCATCTGTTCATCTCATGGATCTATTATAATACCGGTTCATCTGCGACACTTCACTGAGACTGTTCCAGAACTACAGGGACAATGGAACTGGACTTACTCAAAAGCTGATCTGGAAACACGTTATTCCCACGGTAAAAGACGTAACTCGGAACCCCTCGATCTGTAAGTAGTGACGCTAACTCGCTGTATACTTCTGTACACTAAATAACTAGGGTCTGATTGTGCATCGAGGACATAGGGCTCGATGTGACGGATTGTCATTGTTGGAAAAAGTTCATTCTTATGTATGAAATTACTAAGTACAGGTGATAAACGACAAAAGCGTCACCGCTACGTCACCGTGCGGGCGGGGGGAGGCGGGCTCACAGGCAGAGGAGCAGACTCTTCTCTGGATCAGCTCGTTTGAGTCGAGGTGACGTCACCTCTATACAAGAGATGGCTCTAATCTCACAAGCTTTGATTGTTGTGTGGTGTATCATACACATTAATATCACACATGTGTATAGGATTGAGTGTGAAACAATACAATACAATACAATTTATTCTTGTATAGCCCTAGGTCACAACAGAAGTCATCTCAGAGGACTTAACAAAACCATTGAAATCACCAACACAGGTCAGAGAATCAACAGTTAAAACACATGAAGAATATAAAGCACACACAGAAGAAAATGTCCATACATGTTGTAGAATGCTAAAGTGTCCTGATCATCACCAATCCTTTCTGTTGGACACTAACTGTCCAACAAGACCCTCCTGCATCGACAAGGAAAAACTCTTAAAAAACCCAGTGGGAAAAAGTGAGAAACCTTGGAGGAGAACTAGGGAAACCCACAGGGAGGGAGACCCATATGAGAAAGGGATCCGCTCCTCCGGACGGACAGGCTAATGATCTAGGACCTAAGCTAGCTACAGAACGTGGACCAGTGGACGCTGAACGTGGACAGGTCCGGTGCAGGACCGAAGCACTCCCAGGCGGGTCGGGCGGGGCAGTCCGCAGGCGCAGACGGAAGAGGCCAGGCTCAGAGATCCCGTCATCGTACCATGAAACAGACAATGGGACAACGGGTGAATAGCAATGAACAAACTACAGTCAGAATCCTAAAAATGCTAAACAGATAAAGTAGGAAGGAGGAGAGGATAGTGCTCAAGTTACCATACTTCTCCCAGCAAACTGACTCCCTATGCAGCTTGACTGACAGTCTGAGGAGTTTAGCCTTCCCAGAGTCTTACCTTCCTAACCATATGCTAAACTAAGGAGGACTGTTTTAAACCTAGCCTTGAATAAAGAATAACATACAGCATAATATATAACATAATATACAACATAACACAATACATTATTGAAAAATATATAACATAATATATAACATAATACAGCATATATATATAATATATACACTACATATTATATATTACCTAATTATATGCTAAATTAAAGTAAAGTGCTTTAAGCCTGGCCTTGAATGTGGAGACCGTATCTGCTTCCTTAACATAAATGGGTAGCTGATTCCACAGTAAAGGAGCTTGGTAGCTAAATGCTCTGCCACCAACAGTGACCTTTGAGACCTTAGGGACCACCAGACGTCTGGCGTTTTGTGAGCGCAACGCTCGACCTGGTTGATACGACACTAACGTGTCTTGGAGATAAGAGGGAGCCAAGCCATTTATGGCTTTATATGTTAAGAGTAGGATTTTAAACTTTATTCTGTACTCCACAGGGAGCCAGTGGAGTGATTTTAACACCGGAGTTATGTGCTCCCTCCTTTTGGTACCTGTTAAGATCCTAGCTGCTGTATTCTGAACGAGCTGGAAGCTCTTCAAAGAGGCTTTAGGGCACGCTGCCAGTAAAGCGTTACAGTAGTTGAGCCTTGAGGTGACAAACGCGTGAATGAGTTTTTCCGCGTCACTTTTAGGAAGGAAATTCCTAATTTTAGCGATGTTCCGTAAGTGGAAGTACGCCGTTTTAGTTGCTTGGCTTATATAAGCCTTGAAGGAGAGTTCTTGGTCAAAAATGACTCCAAGATTCCTCACAGTGTTACTGGGTATTATACTGACATTATCGAGAGTAACCATCTGGTTAGTGAGGGAGTCACGCAGGCGCTTCGGACCGAGTAGGATCACTTCTGTCTTCTCCGGGTTGAGAAGTAGGAAGTTAAGAGTCATCCACATTTTAAGGTCCTTTATGCAGGCACTGAGCTTTTCTAGCTGATCTGTCTGATTAGGCTTCATCGACAGATAAAGCTGTGTGTCATCTGCATAGCAGTGGAAATTAATTCCATGCTTTTTAATAATGTTTCCCAGTGGCAGCATGTAGAGAGTAAAAAGAATCGGTCCGAGTACCGAACCCTGCGGCACACCGAATTCTACTCCAGAATAAGGCGACGAGTCCTGATTCACATTGACGAAGTGATATCGATCTGATAAATAGGATTTAAACCAGCCAAGGGCTGTTCCTCTAAGACCTATATCACATTCTAGCCTCTGCAGTAGAATGCTGTGGTCTATTGTGTCAAATGCAGCACTAAGGTCCAGTAGGACCAGCACTGACACTTGTCCATTATCGGCAGCTAGTAGTAAGTCATTTGTGACTTTGACTAGTGCCGTTTCAGTGCTATGATGAGCTCTGAATCCTGATTGAAAGACTTCAAACATATCATTTTCCTGCAGGTGGCAGCGGAGCTGCTCAGCTATAAGTTTTTCCAGGATTTTAGATATAAAAGTGAGGTTTGAGATCGGTCTGTAGTTTGTAAGTATTTCTGGGTCCAGGTTTGTTTTCTTCAGAAGGGGTTTGATTACAGCGGTGTAGTGTGAAACATGAAGAAAAGCGTGATATAGGACCTTAAATCTAAAAATATTATGAGATTAATCTCAAAATGTTATGAGATTAATCTCAAAATGTTATGATCTTAATTTAAATATATATAATTATTAATTTAAAAATGAATCTCAAAATGTTTTGAGATTAATCTCAAAATATTTTGGACCCTGGGAGGAGATCTAGCATGGACTATAGCGCTGAGACTAATGCAGACCCGAGGAGAGACTGGAGTGACCAGTACCATAGGACAGAATATAATGAGTGAGTGAATGGATGGTATTTGGTCAGAGGCTTTGATGCGTCAGTGTGTTTGGTGACTCGCTTCTGTCATCGCCGTGTGGAGAGAATGGCAAACTATCTGAACTCTGAACAGTTGTAAAGCACTTTGGGTGATCATGGTCTGTAAAATATGCTATATAAGGCTATATCCACACGAAGACAAAATGCTTATAATTTCAGAAACTTTTTCTGTAAACACGGAGTTAGCTCAGTAAATGTGTGCGTCCATATGAATGTAGTCAATACGCCTGAAAACGCTGTGAAACTATGCCAGACCTGTTGGTGGCGCTGTGACGCAATGACGGGATCAAGCCCAAACTTCCGTGGGCATGCGCGGAATTTTGTAAACAGACAACATGGCGAGTGGGCAAGCTGGTACTACATTAGTATGGACGGACGATGAGGTTGAACTGTTGCTTCGGGTCACACTGGATTACAAAACCAACAAGCTACATTGTTGTTGTCATTATTTTCTGAGTGCGGCGCATGCGTGCTTTAACAAGAGGCGGGGCGATGACGCAAGCGTCTCAGATACATTGCGGAGAGGCAGTAACCACGGAGCGGCATATACGGAGTTTTGAAATCTTTCCACTCTGGGACCTAGTTTCAAAAATGTTCGTTTACACCCCCCCAAAACGCCGGCCTCGTATGGACGATACACTGGATTGATAAAGTATTTTTGCGTTTAGGCCTGAGCTTGACTTTGTGTGTACAGGGCCTAAATAAACATTACTTACTTACTACAAAAAAAAAAAAAAAAAAAAAAGATGGCACCGGAGCACGCCGCTACCGGCGTCCTGCACAATTAAATTCGCTAAAAACTGGATATTAAGGAGAGATCCTGGTTCGAAACTAGGGATGTAAAAAACTATGAATTTTCATGACCGACCACCGAGCCTCATTAACCGGTTGAAACCGGTTAACCGCGTAGTTTAAAATAGTCCACGTTCTTTGAAGTAACAGCCATTTCGAGCCGCGTACTTCTCAATAAGTGCAGCTCTGCGTTCTACTGGATCAGAGCCGAGACAGCGGCGCCCAAACCCGCAACAGCTCCGGCACCTTTGCGCACAGAGAACTGCTTTTTTAATCTTCCCATTCTGCTCTGCTGCGGGTTAATACCAAAACTTTCTAGCAGCAAACGACGGCTCGTTCACATGGTCAGAGCAGCGAGTGACGAGCCGCGTCTCACAGGTCTTCACAAAAGTTTAAATACAAGTGATGTGTGTGGAGCTGATCCCGAGGACAATAAACACAAACATGTTCCATGTGGTTTGACTGGAGCCGCGTATTTGCGCGAATCCTTTGGGCTCCGTGACACAGAGGAGCGCGACAGACCGGTATGTGTGTGTGTATGTATGTGTGTGTGTATGTATATGTGTGTGTGTGTAAATGTAAGCTCCAATGTAGTTCTGACCCGCGCCAGTGTGCAACTTTGACGGTAACAGAGGGGAGAGATGATGCGTGTGGATGTTACGTATGGAGAGGGGGAAAGTGTGTGTGTGTGTGTGTGCGCGCGCGTGCGTGTGTGCATATGTGGCTCGTGCGGCGTGAGAGTCGTCCCGGAGTTTATAATACATTGGCGCACACAGCTAGATATGGACCCGCTCGTCACACCGTGCAAATAGGGCTTAAAATAGCGTTATTAAGAGACCTCCCCTCTCCCCATTTTCTCTTTTTTAACCGACAGCTTTGACCGGTTAACGCTGTGACGGTCAACCACCGGTTAAACGGTCGCCGATTTACATCCCTATTCGAAACGACCATTACTTAAGAGTGTCACTACAAGAGAAACTAAAGATGCCAAAACCAAGACGAAAGGACAAGGGAAAGGCGAGCGAGAAGCCTGCGGGAGACACCACGAGCGGAGAGGAAGACTCAGACACTTCCCTTGTTGACATTCTCCTAGAGTTAAAGAGCTTCCGCGCAGAAACCTCCAAAAACTTCTCAGAAATCAAGAAGGAAATTCATGAAATCAAAGAGGATGTGAAGCAATTAAAAGCACGAGTGGGCACTGCGGAAGAGAGGATCGCAGAAAATCAAAGCCGTAACATTGAAATGACCCAAGTGCTCATTCAAGTTTTGCGCAAACAAAAGCTGCTGGAAGAAAAGTGCGATGACATTGAAAGCCGCTCCAGAAGGAAAAATCTGCGTGTCTACTCCGTTCCAGAGAAGGCCGAGGGGAACAGTATGATGGATTTCATCAAGAAACTTCTCAACGAAAAGCTGGGAATAGCAGGAGCGCACATAGAAAGAGCACACCGAGCCGCATCGGGGAAGGGAGGATACACGGGATCCATACATCCCAGGTCCATCCTGGTAAGATTCCAAAGCTACGAGGAAAGGCAGCGGGTGCTCCAGGCTGCATGGTCCAAAAAGGAGATACTTCTGAATGAACGCAGGATTTACTTTGATGAGGATTTCACAGCACAGGTCTACAGGGAGCGCGCAAAGTATAGATTGGCACGTAAAGAACTGAGAGAGCGTAATATTAAAACGCGCATCCTGTATCCCGCAAAATTGAAAGTTTTCGCAGCGGACGGGAAGATTCAAGTGTTTGAGAGTCCTGAAGCAGCAGCTAAAGGACTGCGGGAGTTCGGCATTGCTATGGAATGTCCCACCAAAGAGCTGGATTTGGAGTCTATTCTTCAATCGGCTGGCTGGCAGTCGCCTCGTAGCAAAAGCAGAACCGGGCACGTAGACAACCTGATGCCCAGCCTGAAGAAACTGCTTCAACCAACTTCAGCATCATAAAGCACAACCTGATCAAGGTATGTCTGAAATTAAGTTTGGAAAAATGACAAGGGGGCATGGACACCCGTGGACAGACTCTGAGCGAAGATGACTGAAGAAGATAAAAACTACGATCAGGAACTGAATGTGGACTCTCAATTGTACAGTCAGATAAATAACAAATGTAAATATTACACCAGCAATGAGCTGGAAGGCAACATTGTTTCGGATGAAGATTTATCTGTGATTCATTTCAACTGCAGAAGCCTAAGAGCGAACTTCAATATGATTTGTGATTATATAAAAACATTAAATGAACACCTTTAAAATTATTGCCCTCTCAGAAACTTGGTTACAAAGCGACAATGTTGCTGAATTTGATTTGGAGGGATACGAATTACACCACGTCAACAGGGTAAATAAACGAGGAGGGGGCGTGGCCCTGTACGTAAGTCTTGATTTGAAATGCAGAATCGTAAACAGCATGACGACGGCAATCAAGGATCTAATGGAGTGCATTACTGTAGAAATTATGATGGAAAAGAAGAAAAATATTATTGTGACTTGTGTGTACAGAGCCCCTGGTGCAAACGTGGACACTTTTGCAGAGCGCATGGAGAGCATTCTGGAAAGCTTAAAGGACAACAAAATATATATTGCATGTGGTGACTACAATATTGATTTATTAAATTCAACCAAACATAGACAAACGGAACACTTTCTAGATATGATGTATTGTAAAGGACTCTACCCACTCATCACAAAGCCTACTCGAATAACCATTAATTCTGAAACACTTATTGACAACATATTTACAAACATAATCGAAACGACAGTTAATAGTGGCATCTTGATTAGTGACATAACAGACCACTTACCGATCTTTATGACATACAAAGGTGGTACTGACAATAAAAAAGTTCAAAAGGAGAGACAGCACAGAATAGAAAGAATACAAAATGAAGAGACAATAAATAAATTAAGAAATGACCTACTGAATGAGACATGGAATGAAGTTTATGTACCAGAGGTGAATGCTGCATGTGAAGCCTTTCTAGACCAGTATAAGTGTCTGTATGACAACAACTGCCCAGAACGAATAAGGAAAGTGAAAGAAACACTTAAACCATGGCTGACAAGAGGACTGCTAAATGCATGTGCCAAGAAGAACAAGTTATATGAAGAGTCAATTAGATTTAGAACACAAGAAAGTAATAATAAATATAAAACTTATAAAAACAAATTGACAAGCATATTAAGGAAGGCAGAAAAAGATTATAATTCTAAAGCATTATTAGAAAGTCAGAATGATATGAAAGCAACATGGAAGATATTAAAACAAGTTATGGAAAAGAAGAAACCGAAGTCGACTATACCAAATTACTTACTAAATGATGAAAATAATCAAATAGATGTTAAAGATATGGCCAACGAGCTTAACTCGTACTTTGTAAATATAGGGCCAAAGCTTGCTGAAAAAATTCAACAACCGGGAAATACATATTTAAAAACACAAGGCAGTAAAATTTGTCACTCCATATATTTGGAAGAAGTCACTGAACCAGAAATTTTAAGAACAGTTGCAGAGTTTAAAAATAAGACATCGACAGATAGTGATGGGATAGATATGGCTATCATTAAAAAGACCATAGACTGCATAACCAAACCACTTTGCCATATTTTTAACCTGTCTTTCACTTCTGGACTTTTTCCTGTTTTTAGATTAAAAACATCAAAAGTAATTCCTGTATTCAAAACAGGGGACAAGCATTGTCTAACAAATTACAGACCCATTTCTTTAATTTCACAGGTTGCAAAAATTATTGAAAAACTTTTTGTTCACAGATTAGATTCCTTTATAGAAAAAAACAAGTTGATTAATGAGAACCAATTTGGCTTCAGGAAAAAACGATCCACGGCTTTAGCACTACTGCAAATCACAGAGCACATAACAGCAGCACTAGAAAATAAACAAAGCACATTGGCAGTATTTGTTGACTTAAAAAAGGCATTCGACACAATTAATCACAGTATATTAATACAAAAACTACAGTGGTATGGCATAAGAGGAGGGGTGGTAAATTGGGTTGAGAGCTATTTAGAAAATAGACAACAGTTTGTACAGTTTGCTGGCAACATTTCTAACAAACTAAATATTCAGTGTGGAATTCCCCAAGGTTCCATTCTCGGGCCAAAACTCTTTATTTTATATATCAGTGACTTATGTTCTGTCTCATCAAAACTTAAATCAGTCTTATTTGCAGATGACACAAATTTTTTTCTATCAGGAGATAATATAAAAAAATTAACAAGGACGACGGAAGAGGAAATGATCAAAATAAAAACATGGTTCGATGAGAATAAATTATCATTAAATATAAGCAAAACGAAATTCATGGTGTTTTCAAACAATAACAGTAACACAGACGTCCAGGTGTCAATAAATAGCACAAAAATTGTACAAGAGTACAAGAAATAACATTTTTGGGAGTGACAATGGATGAGAAATTAAATTGGAAATCCCATGTAAACCAGGTAAAAAGAAAAATATCAAAACATATCTCGGTACTGCACAAAGTGAAACATTCACTTGATCATAAAGCCCTAAGGCTCCTGTACAGTACCTTGATATTGCCCCATTTCACCTACTGTGTAGAAGTCTGGGGAAACACATACAAACACACCATACATCCTCTAATCCTCTTACAAAAAAAAGCAGTGAGAATCATTCATAAAGTGGACTCAAGAGAACACACAAACAACCTATTCATACAATCAAAACTGTTAAAACTAGAGGATCTGATCAAACTACAGTCACTCATTGTGATGTACAAAGCCAGAGACTCTCTGCTGCCAGCAGCTGTACAACAGCTCTTCTCTCTCAATATCAACCAGGACAGTAGAAGGAAGTTATACTTCTCCGTCCCTTTTGCCAGAACCACCCAGAAACACATGGGAATATCAGTGGTCGGAGTAAAACTATGGAATCAACTTGACTATGAATTAAAAAAATCCGCAAACATCCACATGTTTAAGAAAAAAATCAAAGCAACAACAGTGAAATCGTACGAAATGAATGATTAGAAAAAAAACAATAAAAAACAAAGAATTATGAAAACAAAAACACATCAAATAAAAACAGTTTGAAGAAGTGCTAAAGGCCATCTTATTTTTTTCTTTTTTTTAATTTTTTTTAAATTTAATTTGTACATGTATGAAGAAAGGGGCAGGCAACATAAGATTTTTTTTTCTTCTTTCTGCTCCTTTTCATTTGTGAGACAAGACGACAATTATTTGAAATGTAACTGTAATATGTGTAGTATTGTTTTTGTCCACAATTGAAACAAATAAATAAATAAATAAATACTACTACTATAGTGTGAGGAAGATATCTTCCCCTCTGCAGTCAGACTGATGAACATTTTATAACTCAATCCCTACCCTTTACAACAGGGGTGTCATTCATACGGCCCGCGGGCCGCCAAGAGATTTGACCCGGCCCACGGCTCATTTATGTAAAATGATGATAATAATTTTTTTTTTTAAATCCGCGAGGCTCTGCGACGGCACAGCGTCGCGCTCAGCAGTGAGTCCAGTGCGTCTGTAGCTGGCTCCCACCAGAGCGGTGCTGAAGGAATATCGTCTTAACGTACGAGACTCTGCAAAAAATACGGCACTTTGAACGGAGAATTGAGAAGACAGAAGATAAACATGTCTGGCCCTGAAGAAACAGCAGTCTGTTTGTGGCCAGAGTGAGATGTTAGTGCTGCTGCTGTAAAGACAAGCTACCTGAGTGCTAACAACATGGCATTAGCATCGCAGCCGCACAGTGAGAGAGAGTTTGTTAAAACTCTCACAGGCTACAGACATAGTCTGAGAAACCACTCGCTTTTACCAACATGTTGCTATTGATGAGAGACTGATGTTACTGATGTCACATATTCATTTGTGGTTTTACTGAAACAAACTACCACAGAGGAGTTATGAGCGCTGCTGCTGGTGCTGCTGTTGTTGCTGGTGCGTTTGACAGATGTGTGGACCGGTCCTGCTTTCTCAGTCTGGTACCGACGGTACAGGCAGGTGTTGTGACAAAGCCGCAAATGGAGGTGATGATTTTTGGACATTTGACTGTATTTCACACAGAGACACTGCTGCAGTTGTTAAGAATAGATCAAGTTATGGAAGTTGTTTTGTTCATTTCAACTGAATCATGGTCAGTTTGATGTTTTCTTTGTGACAATAACATAACCATGGACCTTACCACACTGAAGATGGTTAATGTGACAATAACATAACCATGGACCTTACCACACTGAAGATGGTTAAGTTGAGGTGCTGTGTTAAAGTGCTTTTTTCTACCTACTTTACCTTTGTAAGCAAGTTTTCTCTGTAATGAGCCTTAAAACAAAGCTAGCATACAATGTAATATTGTTTTACAATATTACGTTTTCTCTGTAATGAGCCTTAAAACAAAGCTAGCATACAATGTAATATTGTTTTACAATATTACATTTTTTGCACTATGAAAAACTCACTGTTACATTTAAGTTTGTAACAGATTTACAGTTAAAACCGAGCGAGTATTAAAGGACAGTGTTTTAAATAAATGTGTTTATGTGCACACAAAGTTGGACTTTGTACCGTTTTTGGGTATTTTTGTAGAGCATCTTCTTGTCTGGCCTATTTGAGATCCAATTAGGTAGTATTCGGCCCCCGGACCAAAATAGTTTGACACCCCTGCTTTACAACCTTCACCTTTACCACTGTCACTTCAGCCTGGACTGTTAAATGTCTGTTGTGTGAACTTAGTGTGCACTTGTATAAAGTAGATATTTTTTTATGCATACCCTTATTTTTATGTTTTACTTTTAGGACCTGTTTGTGGCATGTGAATTCCTGTTTCTTACAATTACCCTGTGACTTTATTTTTTCTCAATGTTCTGCCTCAACAAAGTGGTATCATTGAGTATTGGCAAGCCAGTGTGTGCGTGCAGTTTTATGGAACAATCCTGGGTAAAATA